TTTTGTTTTTTCTATATATAAAAAATCATGTGATATGACGTAATTTCAACCATTTCGACTTTTCATTTCGACTTTGATCTCTAAAATCGAAATATTTCGACTCTTGGGTTTTCATTTCGACTTCATGTATAAAGATGCCAGTCAAAACTCCCTCAAAATAATTTTATTATATCCCTTACTATGTTTTTAATATAGTTTCAGCTAATTTCAGGTTTCAGGGTTTTATTGTATTCCTCATTATGTTTTAATATAATTTCAGCTATTTATTAATTGCCTTTTTTGAGTTTTGTTTCTCATCTTTAATAGTAAAGCTATCTTTAAAGCTTTAGTAGTAGCTTTTACTAAGAAAACTATAGTAAAAAATACATTTGTGACTTTAAAAATAACTTTTTTACTAAGAAAACTATAGCAAAAAGTGACTTCACGATTTTAGAAATGCTTTTTTACTAAAAAAATATTGCAAAAAGCACCTTCACAGCTTCAGAGATATTATTTAACTAGAAAAATATAGTAAAAATGCTGCTGTAGTTTCAGAAACATTATTCTATTAAGTTTTTAATAGTAAAAATTTACCTGTTATTAAATTTACTTTGTAAAAGCTATCTTTGAAATTTTTTAGTATAATTACTTAATTAAAACTTTAGAATAACTTTATTTTAATATATCATTATAAAATAAATTTTTTATATTCAATTCAATTTAATCAAATATTTGATTTGATTTGATTTAGTTTGACAAATATTTAATTCAATTTGATTCAATCAAATATTTGAATTCAATTTGATTTAATTTGATTTTGAAGAATCTTACTACTAAATGTCTCTTTTTTATTTTCTATTCTACTAATTTTTTTTTTACTTTCATGTGATTTTTTGAAGCATCAAACATTTAACATTTATTTTCTTTATTTCCTAACCTTTTTTAGAAATATTTTTATCAATGTTTAATCAAATTTTTAATTTTATTGCTATAATAGTATATGCTACTGTGAACTCATTTTTGTAATTTTTTTTTATATTTTAACTTATATTATTTGTAATTCATTTTCAATTGTTTTAAATAAAAGCATAATTTATTCAAAATTCTTTTATTCTTGTAAGTTTTACACCGTAATATTTCAAAGTATTACACTGTAAACTTTTAAAATTTTAGTATTTTTGTAAGTTTTACGTAATATTATATCGTAATGTTATGAAGTACTATATCATAAATTTTTCATAGTTACATACTCATAATACTTTCATAGTATTATGTCATAATGTTACGAAATACTATGAAAATATAAATTACATAATCTTATGATGGGCTTATAAGTTTTCGTAATATTATAGAATGTAAGTTTATACAATATTATGTCCTATTAAATTTACTGATATAATAATACATTATATAACCCTTTAAATATGAGTAAGTAATCATTTTACAATTAATTATTTACATATTGTATATATTGTAACATTTCATTAATTTCTTTAAATATAATATAGCAAATCTGATACAATAAATCGGAGGTAATAATAATAACAAAACTAAAAGTATTGTTTTTTATTCAATTAAAAAAGACTTAAGAATAAACTTTGAAATTTTGGCTGAAAATATAAAATGTAATTTTTTTATATAATTAATTACAAATTTATATTAACTATTATAAATAATTTATTTAATAAAAAATAAATGAAAAAATCAATTACATATATTTTTATAAATAGATTTTTTAATACTCAAAATATGGCTGATCAAGAATGTGAACAAAAAGCATTACCTTGATATTGGAATACATAAAATTTGAGAAGTTCTTTTATTTTGTCAAAATCAATATGAATGTCAAGTAAAATAATTGGTTATTATTTTTTTGGAATGGAAACAATATTCCTTTTTCTTGTCTAAAATAAGATAATTGTAAAAACAAATAAAAGAACAGCTAAGATATGAGAATTGTATGGAAGATATTTTCCATTTATTAGACATTATTGAAGAAATGGGTAATAATAACATTTGTGAAATCACTGAAGAGGATATAGGTTGGCTGAATTGGATGTTTATAAAAGTGGTTGAAAACCAAAATTTGGAAAACCAAAAGAATTAACTAGTTATATGCTTGCAGATTTAGTAGTACGTGGCTATGTAGAGCAGAAAATTTCACTTTATTATTCTTCACCAAACGCTCAAACCTTATCAGCAAGCATGTATATTATAGGACTTATAGCTGAAGCAAAAGCGAGAGTAATTGCAGATTCATGGTATTATTGGGTATATAAAAGTTGAATTTTTAGTCTATATATTGAAATATTAATAATTAACGAAAAGAAAAGAATAATAAAGGGCTATGTGTAAACTTGTAAAATAATAAAGTACGAAATTGTGGCTTTTAAACCATATAAATTTTATCCTTTAATCATATGTAAATGTGATCTGCAAGTTGGTTACACAACATAATTGAAACAATCTTTCCCGCTGATTGATAGATTGCCAAAACTAACGTATCACGAAAAAACGAAAAAATGCATATAATGAAATTTTTTAAAAAGCAGATTTAAAAATCAAAGATTGATAAAAGTTTAGTTAAATATGTCTAAACGAAGTGGTATAATAATTATGGAAGTCACTGTATATTATATTTTGTGGGTTTGAGCGTTTCGTTGGATTTGACACAAGGTCTGTAATTCCATGCCTGCTGGTATATCTCATATGAGACGTCCTAAAAATTAGATCGTATTTTTTTCTGAATTATGTACCGGATCAATTCGGAACTATCGTTACCAGAACCCAAATATTTGTTGGAAAAAAAAAAGTTATTTCCGAAGCCATTTCATAATCATTATTTACATTCCAACACATATATAAAGCGACAAATAATATTGATCTGAATAATTTATTCTCCAATCTACGAATCCTAAGAAATTAATATGAAACTTATTACTGTATTAGCAGGCACATTGCTCTTTTTCTTAATTATTACAAGCAAGACCAATGCAACTTGCGCTGACTGCGTAGCTATATCGAAACACATTAACAAATGTGGTGTAGATAACTACGAATTGTGTATTATAAATCCTGAACTCACAGTCAATTGCTGTGATTTATATAAAAATCTTCTTTACCTGTGAGTAGAGTAATTTGCAATTCCATAAATTTTTACAAAATCTTATAACGCATATAACGCATAACTGAATAATTATTTTCATTTAGGTGTGATGAATGCCCGAATAAGAGTAAGTATCTTCATCTATTATATAATATGCATTTCCTGAATTAAAAATTATTGTCTCATATCTGTTAATTTTTTTGCCAAATCACTAGATGTAGTATCTTTAACCTATGAAATATGTTCAACTAACAGCGTGACTAGTTGCTAAAATTACGTAAAAACATTCAATTTATATGTAACATTTATTACTTAACATTTATTACTTTACTTCTGAAAATATAATCTACTGTATATTTATGAATTTAGGGTTATTTTAGATGCGCACTTGTATATTTAATGTTACCAAATATAATGGGGAAAGACAAAAAGTATTGCACGGTCAAAGGTTAAAGAACTTGGCTATATATTTATATTTTTGTATAAAATATTAACTTTTTATTGCTTAAATAAATTATTTTTTCATTGTTGATTTAAAGTTGTTACAAGGTGTAAATCGAAATTTAAGAAGTCTCAACATTTTTACGATGAATTCCTACTGTATATTATTTATGGATTCTTCGTTGTTTAACCCAATTTTTGCAATAATCAAAGCCCTTTCTTTAATATAAGTCCTTTAACGAAAATATCATTTGCGTAAAATTAGAAAATAGCAACAATAAATTAAAATATGAATAAAAAATATTTCGTTTACGTAGCTTGTTTTTCAATATTAGTGAAAATGTTTCCAATGAATAGCTTAAATCGGGAAGAGAAGTTTTTTTCCCGTCCTAGCTCACTTCCTAGCGTCCTAGTTTATGTTCGATATGGACCAAAACCCCCCCCCCCCCCGCTTAGTAAAGTGCTGTTATCTTTATTGCTATGGGTATTATTTATTGCTCCTACTTTCTGCAGCTTCATAGTGATTATGTATAGTCGGTCTTTCGGAAAAGTAATGGCTGTGCTCCCAATTTTTTGGGGCACAACCGAAAAGTGTCTCAATCTAATCACCCAATTTAGAGCTAGGTAAGGTTTTTATTTTACCAAAACCAGTATTTTTTGATTTTTTCGGTCTTTTACCAATTTCGCCTCTGCTAGTCTTAAAAAAAAGAAGTATAAAGGCCAAATTTTGACATTTATTGGTCTTTAGCCATACTTGCTGCGCCTCAAAATTTCAAGGGTGCATTCCTTATAACTTTTCCAAAGGCCGGGCAGGACCGTTCAGGACCGAAAGACCGACTGACCATATATGATGTCATGTTAGCTTTACAAGATGCTACAATAAAAAATCTCTCCATATCCCTTCTTCCATCATAAATCTACATATACTGTATGTTCTCTGACTTCGAACGAATCTAGAAGATGAATTATTGATTCTGCTGAACCATCAATACATTGATGATAGTGAGGACGGAGATGATCGATTTGGCGAATTTTTAGGTAGGCCCTATAAAAAAGTTGATCCGTGTTTTGTTTTCCATGTTTATTCCGTGAAGGGCTCATTTATAATCTTAAATCACGGAAATTTTCATATTTTTTATACAGATTCCGTGAAAGGCTCATTTTCACGGAAATTTACGTAAGCCACGGAGAAATAGTGGATATATTCGAGCGAAAAATTTTTATAGGGAGGTGATGAAGCGGGTGATGTAGCGGGCGAATTTACAAAAGACCCTACAGGTGTCGTTGCGGGCGAATGAGATCTTGATCTTGAATTTGACTTATTTCTATTATGAGTTCGCTCAAAAGCTGATATTAAAAACTAAACGAATCAGTCCCAATCATTATTCGTGACCAAAAAAAATATTTAAGATAAATACCGGAAATTCACTGTTTAAGTTCATTAATAAGGATTCAAACCGATATGACTAGTTGTATGACGGCCGCCTTTTCGCTTATTCTCAATGTCAGAAATAAATAGACAGGAAATTTAAAGTAAGGCTCTTTTTTATATTTTTTCATAAATTAACACATTGGCTGAGAAAAAAATAAACTTAATGAAAGATATTGAGATAAACCCGCAAGAATTATGAGTGAAATGAAAAATTTTCCCCAAAAAAATGATCTGTCTCCTTTGTTAAGATAGCATCTCATATGAAGAAAATTGCAAGTTTTAGACGTTTCGTTTAAAAGCATTTTTCCAATAGATTGGTGTGAAAAATAATTTATATTTGATTTTGTGATTGATTTTCTTATACTATTAAGACAAAACATGAAAAGTCACACCACCCCTAAATTCTGTTGTTATTCTTTTTGTTTTATTGTGACGTATTATTGACTCTACAATTTTATTATAAAAAAGACAAATTTATGGTGAATGCATAGCATAACAAAATTTAACATTATGTATTATTAAATTTAATTTAACACATATTGCAACAACAAATAAAAGATTTTACAACAAAACAAATTTAGTTCAAAATCCATCAAAGTCTAATGCAAAAGGAAACTTGCTAAAAGATTAAATTACATATAGTATATAAAAATAATTCAAAATGCTCTAAAAAAAATGCTAATATTTAGTTTTAAAGAAAGTTATATGCAGAAATAATCAACTTATAAATAAAAAAAGATAATTCAATTATTTACATCAAATAAAATATTTAGTTAACTTATTTATTAATTTAATTTTTATTATATTATTAATTATAACTAATAACAAATTATTACTAAATTAAATATTTAAGTATAATTCCCTTAGTTTATTAATTATAAAAACTAAAAAATTAATAGGTATTTACAATTCATATAACTTCTCTAAAATATCAGCAAATAAGCTTAAAAATCAAATTTATAACCTTAAATTAATTTTAAATTAATTTTAAACTGATTTAATTCTAATTTTAATTTTAAATTAATTTTAAACTAATATTAAAGTCATTCTAAATAAGAATTTCATAATTTAAAAAAAAACTATTATAAAAATTCTTAGTAAATAAATAAGAAAAGATATTATACTATTATTAATTATATGTTTATTAAAAGGAGTTTGCTATTTATCACTACCGGTGATCATCACTGAAGTAACGTGATTATAATTGGCTAATAGTAAATTAGTATCTGTATCCAATAATAAATCAATTATTATTTTTATATTATGTAAAAGTTATATAATATTTATATTTATTCTAAATCCCGCTAACTATATTTTACACCTGCTAATACAAAACCAACTAGATCTACTATATTAGCTAAGTGTCTAGTTGATATTTTCTTTATCAACAGAATCAGCTTTATGTTATTTGCATCCTCTAATATTATGCATTTTTTCTAGATAATAACTACAGGTTTTTGAAGAAATTATATGTTGAATATTATTCTTTTCTGTTGATGATTTATAATGTTTCAGAGAACGTCCTTTGGCTTATAATACTCTGGAATTGATATTTAGAGAACATTATGATTATCTGTTATAGTAGTAGAGAAAGGTTCTTGAATTTCATTATTCAATTTTAATACATAATGAACCTCTTCTATATTCAAACTGGTATTTCGATGACATTTAATAATAAATTCTGTAAGAAATCCAGTCAGTTCTAATATAATCCCTTCTGCTATAACTATCTGAACACTATTGATATTATAGCACTGAATTTGAGTTTTTTGTTGAATTTTCTCTAATATCTGATGTGCAAATATTAGCAGTTCTCATTTAATCAATATATAGTAATAGATTAGTGATATAAGCTTTAGTTTTTCAAGTGATCGTAATATAATTATTTGTTTCAAGTGATACTGATGCAAATTAGCGCATATGAATAAAGCTTATATGAAAAATAGCTTTGTTAGAATCTGATACTGATATCAACACAGCATCTCTTACTTAATAATGTACATACATGTACAAAGTAATGTCATATCCTTAAGGATCACTACATAATATGATTTTGATTTTAAAGATATCATAATATAATTGACCTCCTATATTTCTTGAATTTCTTTGTGATCAATGCTTAACAAAAGTTCTTTTAATCTAATTTGTGATCTATTATATATATATTTTACTATACTATTGGGTTTATCATCGAATTCATTAATTTGTTAAATAGAGATTAAAATTCCTTGATATAATAATGCTTATTTCATTTGGCTTCTCTAAAGTGATAATAGGATAGATACTAATAAATCTTTTAAAACAGAATCAATGTTTTTGAAAATAGTATTATAAGTAAATAGAAGACCAGTTGATGGATATGATCCATAATAATCTCTGATTTAACTATATTATGCTTCTTTATCTAACTCATTTTCTATTACTTTTATTAATTTCCTTAATAGAGTTTCTCAATTCATATGTTTTTTAATAACTCCTTTAGAGATTTGACATGTTGAGTTGATTCTACTACTACTGTAAAAACCTTTGCAATAGAATATCTTGCTCATGACTAAGATAAATTTTTTTTAAGATAAGACTGATATTACTTATATTTTGTAAGCATTTCATTGTATTTTACTTCAAACTGAGTCATTGGCAAAATTTTATGATGCAGATCTGCACAGATCTACATATTGATTCACCTGACGCAGATCTTAAGACATGCTATTAAACTTTAAATAAAAAAATTATGATTTCTGCGTGGATTTTCAGATTGTTAGAATTATACGTAGAATTTTATATAAATATTGTAACAACTTTTCAAGTTATAAGTTATTTGCAGAATTTTATAGAAAAATTCACAACAAATTTTCAATTTATAAAGTTATACGTAAAATTATATGGAGAAAATCATAACAACATTTCATTTATAAAATTTTTACGCAGATTTTTATAGAATTTATTTATTAATATCTTACGCAATTTAAAATATATTTAAAAAACTAAAACTAATAAAACCTAGAAGTTTTGATTCAACCTGGCAACTTACGAATATAAGATACTTTTAAATTAATTAAAAGTGCAGTGATATATTAATAAATTTTAGCTTACCAAGTTGTCATAATCATTATTATCATCTACTGCTGCTTTACTTTTACCAATTTTGGATGTTTCTTTTCACTTTTTACGTGTATCTATAGCTTCAGCTTCCTCGTCACATGATCTCAAAAGTAACAGTCTCATAATTTTTGATAATGCGCTATTTAATGAATAATTTTGAAGTTATTATTAGCAAATAGTCAAATACTGTGAATATATTTACCAGAAAGGCATTGACTCATTTGATCACAGATTTATCGTTACATTTTATTTCAAGGCTTTATGAATTTAGAAGGATATTGCAAATAGCGAAAATAAGACGCAATGTGTTATCAGAAGTTCCTTATTTTTATATTGCTTAAAGACCAAATAGCCTACTCTCATTAGTAATGCACTTTCTATATAATGCTTTATAAGCGACCTTTGTTCTTTTGCTAGATTTTCATTCAACAATTTTTGCCGCTGATGTATTATTGTTAATATAATCCAATCTTTCGCTGAGGTTAACGAACATTGCATGGTGAATACTTGACGCAATATCATTTTGTTTACTATGACATTTGTTTTTGATCTGAAATATATAAAATAAAAATTATCAAAATCATTGAACTTCTTTAGTTATTTAAGATTTTTCATATTTTAACTTACTCCCTGCAATAGCTTATTTTCGAACATAAAAATCCAACAATTTCTACTGATGCTTTCTATAAAATATTCAGCATGCTCAGAAAGATACTCTTTCAATACCCTGCGAAATTTGCTAACTACAGAGAACAAGACAGTAAGTAATAATTTCTTGACTACTTCTCTGAACACATGCTATAAAAATCAAAATCTTAAGAAGTATAATAAAGATCAAACAGAACTGCGAAATGTATTAAATTACTAATATTCCAAAAATTCTCAGAGAGCTCATTGAGTATAACGAGATTTTTATATCTTTACTTATTTCATTTTATTTGTTACCAATGTATCTAGTAAACTTATAAATTGAATCAATTTTATTATTTAATGTTTATCGTATAATCAAAATTTTCTTTCGTGAGGTATCTATCACTGGTCAAAATCAAAAAAATTGGATATGTTATAAATCATCTATCAATCGTTTCATCAATCAGACATAATCATTAATGGCTAAAAATCAACCTAAATCAACCTGTCCGATTTATGGACGATTTGTATATTTATAAAATCAGAAAGCAATTTTAATAAATTATTTTATGTCGAAAATAACAATTCGGAAGAATTTTTTAAGCCAATAAAACTTTCAAAATTATGTGAAAAAATGACAATTCCGAAAGCAATTTTAATAGATTATTTTATGTTGAAAATAACAATTCAGAAGGATTTTTTAGGCCAATAAAACTTACAAAAATTATGTAAAAAATGACAATTCAGAAAGCAATTTTAATAGATTATTTTATGTCAAAAATAACAATTCAGAAGGAAATAAGATGTCATAATTTCATAATTGGTATTTTCTATTAATTAGATTGATGGCCAAATATTCTTTTGCATTTCGCCGAGTTGAAATCATATAGTTCACTGATACAAATCGTCCTAAAATATGATGTACTAGTATTATACAATCACGACTTTCAGGGTAAAAATCAGTATCCTATAGTTCAACATTACATGTTTCTTTAACATTAAAATGATATTGAACATTTGGAGAATCTGCAGGTTGATACCAGTAAACATATGCTAGAAAATGTTCAGTCGGTCTATACGGTAAATCGATTGTATAAGTAAAATAATATTGAACTTGACCTGGATAATAATAAATAACATCATCATTCGTAATAAATTTGGCCAAAATGTATGAACTTTTCTCATGTTATAAGGACATTGTTGAACTAAGATTTCAGAACTGATTCGATATCTTTCAAACTAATTCATTTTGAATTGAATTATTATAGCATTTTCTGAATCGTCGCTAAATGGTTTCTGAAATTCAAGATTTTTATAAGTTACTAAATAGTATTTAACAATTAAATCCAGCATTTCATTTGAAATGATTATATTATCAGATGATGGTTTAAGAAATTTTCCTGGAAAATTTTCACTACCAAAAATATGCAATTCTTTAATATTTCAGGAATTCATCCAAAATCGGTATATTTCATCTGATGAAAATTGGTCAGTAACTGAAAGAGAGCCAATAGAACGCCAATTGTCCAAAATTTCAAGCCCTTTCATCTCAACATCAGAATTTATGATATTGTCAATTTGATTATCGAACATCAATCGACGCATAAGTTCAGGTTCAATTTTCTATTGCTATTCGGTAAAGAGCCTAAGAATTATAAATTTAAAAATTAATAAATATATTCAATTAGAAAATTTTTATAATGATAAATTATCTAAAATTCCATTCATACGTTTGAAAGAAAAATACTAGAATGCATACAATGGCCTATAATCAAATGAACAATCATATAAATAAAGAGATAAATGAATGTTCAGCGTAATTTATTATGACTATGATTAACTTCTATCAGCTTTGCTATTTTAATTAATCTTCGATGAGCTTCTAAAACAAGATCTGATTCTATAATTAGGCTAATTAAAATTAAGCAAATTCTCATAAAATGTGTAAGAATCTTTTTATCTACAGCCAGAAGATGTTCCCAAAGTGATAAAGTGGCATAAATAGTAAAAAATATTCACCATTGATCGGTTGTGAAATTAGAAAATCCTTCCCCTCATGAATTTTACCCAGAATTTGACCCAAATCAGATGGAATCTGAAACTTATTCATTTTTTTCTGAATTTTTTTCAGGCATTTGATGTTAAAATTCCCCTATTGATCCAAATTCATTTTACTATCCATCTTGCAATTCCTAAAAATAAGTAATACATTAGGTCGATTGTAATAAATTTGAATTAAACTTAAATATTTGATTGAATTAATTTGAATCGATTTGAATTTGATCGAATCAAATCAAATTGAATCAAATATTTGTCAAATCAAATCAAATCAAATATTTGATTGAATCAAATATAAAATTTTTTTAATTTTTATTCTAAAGTTTTAATTAAAAAAATTATTAGTAATTGCATTAAAAAATTTCAAAGATAGCTTTTATAAAATAAGTTTAGTAACAGGTGAATTTTTACTATTAAACTTAATAAAATAACTCTACAGTTTCGATTTTACTAAGAAAACTTAGTAATAACCACCATCGCAGTCTTAGTTTACTAAGAAAACTTAGTAATAATTGCTATTGCAGCTTCAGTTTTACTAAGAAAATTTAGTAATAACCGCCATCACAGCTTCAGTTTTACTATAAAAACTTAGTAATAACTGCTATCGCAGCTTCAGTTTTACTAAGAAAATTTAGCAATAATCGCTATCTCAGCTTTGTAACAATTTTATTAGTAAAACAACGTTTTCGAAGTCACAGATATGTTTTTTTACTAGGTTTCTTAGTAAAATAGCAACTCCAAAGCTGCAGAGACGTTTTTTACTATGTTTTCTTAGTAAAATAACGTCTTCGAAACTGCGAAGAAATTTTTTACTATATTTTTCTTAATAAAAAAGACATTTCTGAAGCCACAAAGGCACTTTTTGCTATAGTTTTCTTAGTAAAAAAGGCATTTCTAAAGCTGCGGAGGCACTTTTTACTATAGTTTTCTTAGTAAAAGTTATTTCTGAAGCTTTGGAGATAGCTTTACTATTGATTCAAATCAAATCAAATGGAAACGTTTCCAGTAAAATCAAGTCATGAGGCATAGTAAATCATATGATCTGTAATGTGATTTTACTGGAAACACTCCCAAATATTTAAATACTTTATTTGAATTTAATCGAATCAAATCAAATATAAATTTGAATTTGTATTTGATTTGATTTTTAAATATTCAAATATCAAATTGAATTGCAGAACCCTAATAAATGAGATATATTTT